ATATGCGATATGCGATATGCGATAAGCGATATGCGATATGCGATATGCCACTATCTAATGTGATATGCGATATGCGATATGCGATAAGCGATATTCGATATGCGATATGCGATATGCGATATGCGATATGCGATATGCGATATGCGATATGCGATATGTGATATGCGATATGTGATTGTGATATGTGATATGTGATATGTGATATGTGATATGGGATATGCGATATGTGATATGTGATATGTGATATGTGATATGTGATATGCGATATGCGATATGCGATATATGCGATATGCGATATGCGATATGCGATATGCGATATGCGATATGCGATATGCGATATGCGATATGCGATATGCGATATGCGATATGTGATATGCGATATGCGTTATGCGATATGCGATATGTGATATGTGATATGTGTGATATGCGATATGCGATATGCGATAAGATATGTGATATGTGATATGTGATATGTGATATGTGATATGCGATATGCGATATGTGATATGTGATATGTGATATGTGATATGCGATACGCGATATGCGATATGGGATACGCGATATGCGATATGTGATATGCGATATGTGATATGTGATATGTGATATGCGATATATGATATGCGATATGCCACTATCTAATGTGATATGCCACTATCTAATGCGATATTGCTGCTATCATGATGAAAGATTGAGATCGTCATAATGTGATATCATGTTATTTATGTGATATGTGATTGGATACCTACTGTGTGAATGATGGTATCATGCTATTTATGTGATATGTGAATGGATACCTACTATGTGAATGATGGTATCATGCTATTTATGTGATATGTGAATGGATACCTACAGTGTGAATAATGGTATCATGATGCGTATGTGATATGTGAATATGACTTACTGTGTGAATATGACTTACTGTGTGAATGATTGTACTGGTAGCTACCTATTGGGGAGGGTACTAACTGTGTGAATGATGGTTCCGACAGCTACGATCTTTCCCTGACTCCCCATGATAGGACGGGACTCAGGATGTGATTAGTTGGGAGGGTCCTTAAATTTATATACGCACTACGCATGATGGTAGTGTAATGCGCTCTCGCCAGAAGGGCATAAGGAGAGAGTTGTGTCTTGCAAGGCCTCTGCCTATCGAAACCCCAAAGGGCGCTGGGGATATGTGTGTGTGTGTGTATGAGGGTGTTACGAAGTGGGACATCCACTTGTCATTGTCCTCCCTCTTGAGTGAGGGTAGAAGTCCCAAGTTCAGGATTGACTTAGCCTGACCGATGTGGCTTCTACTTCGCGAGTAGGGCCTTACTAGTTTTGTAACTATGATTTGTTATCCTTACTGTTTCATTTTAAGTACGGTGGTTATGGCTTATGTATTATTTATTGAACATCTTTTATCATATTATTGTTAGAGTGTTGGAAAGCATGTTGAGGGACTTCATTTGATACCTTGTGTATATATGTGTATTGCATATTGTTATCAATTTCATGCTAGTTGGAATGCAATGGTGTAGATCTACTTACTGGGCTTTTAACTCATTTCATCTTAATTTTATAACTATCGAGTGAAGGGTGGTGCCAACTGTGCTAAAGGTGGGTGGCAGTTTGAGGGCTTGAAACCGAAATTAAGAAGTTGAGAAGCCGTCTTTCGAAGACTTTCTTAGTATGTTTTGGTGGTTTCAGCAAGATGATGTATACGCCCTTTTGTATATTTTGGGCCAGTAGCGCTTTGAAGAAATTGTAAAGACTTTTGATAATGAATGAATGAAATGGTCCTACCTTTTGGATTGATATTTGTTGATGAAATAAATTTATTCTCGTTTTCTGTCGTGGTTTGCTCTCGATTCTGTGTTTTTATGCATTGAGCCACTCCCCATCTGAGTGATGTTCGCAACCTCCGGTTGCGATCCCGCGCTCTGTAGCCCTCCTGCAGCGGTCAAGGAGCAGGGTCGTGACACTGATATTGTTTATAAACATTGTGGGGTTTTGCTGAAACACTGTGAGCTGCATATAGATTTGTTATTGTTAGATATCCAGGACTTTGATGTTATTTTAAGCATGGACTAGTTATCCACACACTATGCTACAGTAAACTGCCATGATAAGACTGTAACCCTTAGACACTCATACCTGCATGAGTTAAACCTTATTAGTATCAAGGATGTTTCCCCTCTACGCCTTATCTTGGCCCTTCGAGCTTCCCGCTTGCTGGCTAAAAGATGTGTTAGGTATTTAGCTAATGTAGTAGAAAATTGAGATGACCGGTCCGTGTTGAAAGAAATACCAATGGTGAGGTAATATCCAGAGGTCTTTCCCAAAGAGTTAAGCTCTCTGCCCTCAGTCAAAGACATAGAATTTGAGATAGATGTGATCCCGAGCACGACCTCTATCTCTATAGCTTCTTATAGGATGGCCCCAACAGAACTAAAAGAACAATTACAAGAGTTACTAGAGTAGGGTTTCATTCGACCTAGTGCGTCACCCTAGGATGCACCTGTCTTATTTGTGAAAAAAACAAAGATGGGTCTTTGAGGATATGTATAGACTATTGACAGCTTAATCAGGTCACTGTTTTTTATCAACTCCAACAGGCCCAAGTATTTTCCAAGATTGACCTACGGTCAGGTTACATCATCCGCGAGTCAAGGAAGAAGATGTACCTAAGACTGCATTCAGGACTCGTTATGGTCACTACGACTTCTTAATAATGCCTTTCGAGCTAACTAAGCCCCGGCTGTCTTCATGGATATGATGAATAGCATTTTTAAACCCTTCCTAGATGATTTTGTAGTAGTCTTTATAGATGATATTCAGGTACATTCAAGGAATTTAGAAGAGCTTGAACAACATTTGAGGATGGTCCTCTTTACGCTAAAGACAGAGAAGTTATAGGCTAAGCTGGGGAAAAGTGAGTTTTGGCTTTCAAGACTGGCCTTCCTTGTGCATGTTATTTCTAAGGACAGGGTCGCGGTTGACCCTTGTAAGATTGAAGTCGTACTTAAGTGGGGATGGCCGACAAATGTGACGGAAGTTTTCTGGGTATGGCCGAATATTATAGGCGTTTTGCAGAAGGCTTTTCAAAGATAGCACTTCCCCTGACTCACCTATC